ACACTCAGTTTACTAAAATTCAATTACATACGAAAATAAATGCTCCCTCCGTTCCAAATTATTTGCAATATTTGTTTTTTCAGCCGTCGCGAGAACTTTTGTTTATTTCTACGTTTTTATTGGTTATTTGATAAAATAAAATATTCTTGACACCTTTTATTTCGAAGAACTTTTCATGTAGTTTTTTGATATGTAAATTTTACTTTTTTATTTCTATACCAATATGTGAATAAAATGAATTGAAAAAGTTAATATTTTACCTCGAGAATACAAATATGACAAATATTTAAGAACGAGAGGAGTATTTAATTATTCGAAAATGAATATTCTATTACTCAAAAAAAAATGAGTATTGGGTTAATTGGAACACTGTAATTCTGGGTTAGCCTCTGTAATTTAATTGAATCAAGAGCTCTGCTTTGAAACCAAAACCTGCCTGAAACAATGTCGATTCCCGCCCCCAGTTTCAATTCGTCGAAGCTTCGCATTCACCCTAAACACCTCCATCTTCTTCCCCAGCAATCTCCAAACCTTATTCTACGATCCCACCTTTTCCGTAGCTCCAAAACCCCCAATCTCGTACCCTTAAACCTTTCCTTCCGGAATCATGGAAATATTCTCAGATTCAAATGCACCGGTGGATCGGAGCCCGCACAGACTTCCCGCGCCTTGTTGGGCGATGCAGAGAAGGAACCGAAGAAGCCAGACGACGGCCAGAGTGGCGGAAACGGACGTTTTTCGTCTGGCGGCGGCGGAGGCGGAGGAGGAGGAAATGAAGGCGAAGGCGATGAAGATGAGTTTGGACCGGTGATGAAGTTCGAGGAGGTCGTGCGAGAGGTCGAGAAGCGTGGCGCTGATTTGCCTGATGTTATGTGGGAGATTGCCAAGACTACAGGGCTTCGCAGTTTGGTTCTTACTCGGTACTTGGATCTGCAGGTTCAAAAGTTTCTAAATTTTATTGTACTACTCTTCATGTTTGAAGCTGGAGAGTCCTCACACCTGTTTCATTTGATTATGTTCAGGCTGCTGCTTGGCCACTTGGGTTTTTAATGAGACATTGCTCGTTGCTAAGGGACCGAATGTTAGCCGATCCTTCTTTTCTGTTTAAAATTGGAACAGAGGTTAGTCAGTTGTCATCCGAGGATTTCGTTTTGAAACTTCTTTTTGTCTTGTAGCTCGGCAGCTCCCATTGCCAATGGAGCTTAAAGAATCATTATTGATAATGTTTTAGCTTAGGGTAAATCATGGAATAAATCAAAATGACACGTTAAACTTCTTTTCCTTCTTACTTGCTATGAAGTTTTGGGTAGTAAATGTAACAATGCATTAGAGGTGAAATAGAATTAGCCTCTCTCGTGACCCTAGACCCCTAGAGAGTTGAGACAATACTAGGTTTTGTTGTTGTTGTTGTTATTGCTTCTTTACATTTTTGTTTACTCCCTTTGTCCCAACGTGCAGTTATTTTTTTCTATTCGTGTGGTCAACCCAACTCTCTTTTATTCTCGCATTTTGGGTGTCAAATTTTTATATTATTCGAACTTGGTTTCTGGTGTATTAGGAAATTTTGCGTATTTTAAGATTATGCCAGTTTTATTTACTGATTATAGTTTAAATATCACTCTGGTAGAATTAACTTCAACTCCAGTCAAATATCATAATCCAAAGTGGGTCTTATATGAGAGTGAGTAGTTTTTACCAACATTTTATGTAGGCATGATATATATTATCTATAAATGCAGGTTGTGATAGACTCTTGTTGTGCTACTTTTGCTGAGGTACAAAAAAGAGGAAAAGACTTTTGGGCAGAGTTTGAATTGTATGCTGCTGATCTTTTGGTTGGCATTGTTGTTGACATTGCTTTAGTTGGTATGCTGGCTCCTTATGTCCGCTTTGGGAAGAAGCCCGTTTCAACTGGATTATTTGGACGGCTGCGGTATGCTTGTGGATCTCTTCCCAGCAGGTGTGAAGTGCCCTGTCTTTCATATTATCTCAACATATCTCTCCAAATCACTCATTATCATTATTTCCCAGAGATTGTAAACTGCTCATTGATAACTTTGAACACGTTCTCATGTTTTAACTGCCCCTAGGGGTCAGTTTGGATGGAGGGTTTTGTTGTATCTTCATAAATACTCCGTAGAATCTTTCTAAAAATTGAGCAAAGGCTGATTGAAATGTTATATGATCACCTTTATACTAAGTTATAGACATAGCCATCCAGAACTCTCCTCTAAACTGATTCTCAATCTCTTGTACATGTTTCTTTGCATCTTTTTTTTGTAAGTTAAATGTGAATCAAGTTATATATGCTAGCTTTTTTGTGTTGTATTTATTTATTTCTTAATTTTTACTAATATTGGGCAATAAGTCAATAAGATAATATGAAGCGTTTAGTTGAATTTTGTATGGTTAAAAGAAGAATTACCTGCATCCCCTATAACGACCATGGCTGATATAATTCTGATGCAGTGTTTTTGAAGCTGAGAGGCCGGGTTGTAGATTTTCATTGCAACAGAGGATTGCCACATATTTTTACAAGGTACAGATTAATGACACATGCAACTACAAAGAATATACAGTATTTAGTTCTCAGTTCATCAATCATTCGGAAAATCTAGATTTTTTCATTTTTTCCGGGTCGTGTTCTTTCTTGTTTTGTTTTTTTAAACGAGTTGATCGTGAAGAAGCTTTTCCGTTTCATTGTGAATCCAGGGAGTGTTGTATGGCTCAGTTGGATTTGGGTGTGGCCTTATTGGTCAAGGCATTGCAAATATGTTGATGAATGCTAAGAGGTACAACTTTATAACCCTATCATATTTTCATACTTGAAAAGTACATCGATAAGAGGCCATATAACTTCATTTTTTATTATTCCCTTTCATAAGAAATATATACTATATATTTTGTTATTGACTTGCATTAATTGCCAGGAGCATCAAGAAGTCCGAAGATGATATACCTGTTCCTCCTCTAGTGAAAAGTGCTGCACTATGGGGTAGGTTCTATTATTATTATTATTATTATTATTTATTATTATTATTATTATTATTATTATTATTATTAATGTTATTATTATTATTATTATTATTATTATTTATTAATATTATTAGATTAAATTCCACTAATTGTCCCCCGTATGTGATGATATCTCACATTTCATCCACTAGTTTTTTAAATGCCAAATTGTGCACCTTTTGTTTGTATACTCTCAGGTGTTTTCCTTGCGGTGTCTTCGAACACTCGTTACCAAATAATAAACGGACTGGAACGCGTTGTTGAAGCATCGGCGCTGGCGAAGCGGGTCCCGCCTGTTGCGATGGGCTTCACGGTCGGAATCCGGTTTGCTAACAACATCTATGGTGGGATGCAGTTTGTGGATTGGGCCAAGTGGAGTGGCGTGCAATAGAACCTGCAGTAGTGGTAGTATGATTCACTTCTTTAAATTGTTCAGTTTTAGAATTGTTTTTATCTAATGAGTTTTAGGAGGTTATACTTTGTATTTGTCTATGCATATGGCCACCTTTTAGGTTACTCTTTCCCAGCTTTCATGCAATCAATTACTCCCTTTTGTCTACTAAAAGTTCTCCCACTTTATTTTTTTTTACAGGATTTTAAGAAAAATGGTAAAAAAAAATGTATGATTAGAATTTAGGCAGAGAATTGAGAAACTTTTATATGGCATGTTTCTTAATACAAAAGGATTGTGATTCTTTTGGGGAGATAGGAAAAAAAAACTTTTAAATGGCATGTTTCTTTTTGCACTTTACTAGTTTTCCAGGGGATGGTTGTCTTAAAATTAAAGTTTACCGTTTAAATTTTGCTTGAATTTTAGTGATTATGATCTTTTAAGATCACTCACACACGAAATAAAGATTTTGTGATTCTTTAATTTACTATCTTGCTCAAAGGCTTCTTGTTCTTGATTCATTTTTGTTCTTCTTCTACTCAATTCTGATTTTTATCTCTTAGGTAGAGAAGTAACTTTTAATTTTCAGTAAATGTGTCAACTTCTGAATTGTTTTTAAATTCTATTTCATTTAATGTTAAAAATAGCTTTGAAATCTTTATTTGTAAATGGTAGAGATCACCGTTGTAAAAAAAACTATATACCACTGGCAAGAGGTGTTTGTCAAATCCCGTAGAGGTCTTCATGGTGAAGTCAATCAAGTTCGCGGAAGTTAAAATTCTTAAGAAGGAACCTCAAAGTACTGAAACATGATATTTAAACCAGTATATAATACTTGTGACATTTTTCTTAATTGATCATTCTCTTTTTCGTTGCTTTGGTTTTTTGTTTTTTATCTCGTCTTACGAAAAGTTTTCAAATACTTTAATTCACTCCCCCCTCTTAGAGTATAAATCGATTATCATGCAAGACATGTACGTTTGAAGGACAAATAAGATTATGAACTTGTCATCAATGATCAACTCGCTCCCCACCTGGTAGGCCGGGACCACTAACTAGCCCAATTTCCTTAACATACCTCGGAGTAGCATTTATTTACTTCTCAAATCGATTAGAGTATAAATCGATTATCATGCAAGACATGTACGTTTGAAGGACAAATAAGATTATGAACTTGTCATCAATGATCAACTCGCTCCCCACCTGGTAGGCCGGGACCACTAACCAGCCCAATTTCCTTAACATACCTCGGAGTAGCATTTATTTACTTCTCAAATCTTTCTACTCATTTTTTGGAGCTTTTAACGTCAATTTTGTTGATTAAGGGATATGCTCCAACGATAATGTAAACCTTTAAATTTTTTTCACTACCTGTTTGATAAATTTATATGCTCATAACACCTCATGTTTCGAAATTTTTTTAATATAATATTTAAATATGTAAGCTTCATTTTTTAATTCCGTCTTCATTTTCAAATAAATTAAATAAAACATAACTTCAATAAGATATTATAAACCGAGGGAGTAATTGAATACGACACAAAGGGATGGCATACATACATTTACAAAGTTAAAATAAACAGCCAGATTCTTAAAACTTTGTGCACTTTGATTTAATCCATAATTTTAAAGAGCTGCTTTCACTAATTCCATCCAAATATATTTAATATTACGTAGGATTAACAAAAGATATAAATGATGGAACTCTCTATATATTCACTCCTTTCCGTCCAATCCAAACATTCCTCTGCCCGCCCAATAAATCATTTAAAAAAAGCCTCCCCAATGTTATTATATGTCTGATTCATACAGCCACCACATATACCGGGCAAGCCACCCCCGCCCGCCTGCCCGAAAAAATTGCCCAACTGTGGTGTGANCCCCCCAATCCTTCAGCCTGGCCACAGTAACACATTGGTGAGGGCGGTTACGTCTTTCCATCTTAACCCGTCAAGGTCGTGCCCGGTGGGGCCGCCAGCTAAAAAGTCACGCAGGCACTACCCTTGCAGATTAGAGAAAGAGTATTATGTACCTGTGTGGAACCAATCTGCATAATACCATATTGACAAAAAGCCACCTTGAGATAAAATCTACTCCATATTATGTTACCTCCACTCGCGACAAGTGCCACATTTCCAAAAACTTCCATCGGACAGTTCTTCGAACCATGGGGAACAGTGCCTGTGGATCCACATCCCACAGGTCTCGCAACAGAGGGTAGGGGCGGGGTCCGCATGTGAGCAAACCATACATGGAACAACTGCTTCAGCAGGTTCCTCTGCAGCCACCACCGCCAAAGATGAGGGAGATTCAGTTTTAGGCACGGCATTCCCCATATCAAATTCAAGTAATAATTCATTGAAAGAGAAATAGGTTTGGGGCTCAAACTCCATGTCCTCATAGCTGAGACCATCACAGTTAAGTAACACCACACCCTCTTCTGCTGGAGCATTACTGTTATCAGCACCACATGAAGTAACTGTTTTATTGTCTTCCCCAACAGAATCGGAGTTGTCTTCGCGCTTTGTGTGCCTCCTGATGGGCAACTTTTTGGTGCCTCGTCCAATAGATAAAGGTTCCGTGACTTCTTGTTTGCAATAAACTTGTGGGTTTTGTTTAGTGGTTTTCTCCATCGATGAGAGGGAGCAAAGAAAATCGGTGTCTACTGTTTCCTCCTCCTGTAGGAGTGGTACAACTATGGGAGTACGAGGCTCTGATGAGACGATTGTCCCAGAATCAGAATCCATTCCTGGATCTTCTACGACCTTTGAAGGTCTTGAACGGGTCCTCTTCTCCATCAACTGTTTTTTGCTTTCTTGATCCAAGTATGGACATATCGGTATTCTGATCCTGCGACATCTACAGCATTTGAACCCCATGACATCGCAAATCTTTGACTCATCAAGTTCAACAGCGTCAGCGTGGTACCAATCTGGAAGCACAAAAAAAAATTACCGAAACATCCCTACCAAGTTTTTTATGAGTGATGATGGGTTGTTTGGATATGATTCTCATAACTACTGATTCTGAGTCTACCTCCTGCAGGGAGCACTTAGAACCATAAATTTCTAGATCCTCGCATGCTATTGCATAAAACAGCAGAAATTTCTGGTAGTTTTGATAAATGAGTCAAAATCAATGCCAAACAACCCCCAACTCTCAATATAAACACAATTTATATACAGCAAATACGGAAGCTTACGTTGGCATTTTTCACAGTGAATGTACATCAGATCAGGATTATATGGTTTCTGGCAAAGCTGGCAAGATGGTCCGGATCCATTTACGGGAGCGCCCTTTCTAAGAATGTGTTTGTTTATAAAATCAATGTCAGACTCAATTGCACTCGACTTCTTCCATATCACACCCAAAGTCTTTAACTTTGCTTTTGAATGTGAGTTTCCATTTGGTTTCACATCGGAAGAACGTGCATTGCCTCGGCTTGATGAAGAAAGTCGCTTACAGCTGCTAAGCATCCCACTTTTGCGGGCTGTATCAGCATTTGAAAATTCTTGACCTTGCAGGAGAAGAGGGCTGTTTGGAGATTCATTATTGATTGCAAATTGTGCAACAGAACTGTTTTGATGACATTGTTTGCAAGATCTTATAATGCATAACGAGTCATAGTGTGGGTTAGCTGTTGAACCGGTTGTACAATGCTCATGACAAAGACCTGTCAATAAACAAAACTTTTGGAGACTATACGGCAAGGGCAAAAATACTAAAATATGGGAAAGAGACAGATAGACATAATACCTTGGCACACACTGCAAATGATGCCATTCCTGAACAAGTTGTTGAACATTAGTAAATAGAAAATTATGAAATGCCACGTGAACAAATAATAAACACCTAAGTAACCAATAGATATTGCAATACGATAATAAATTATTTGATGGCTTTTCATATTTCCTGTTCTCAAAATTGTGTTATTTTGTTTTGTTCACAAATTTCTAAAATAAGAAACAAGTATGAAGATCTGTTATGTAGATAGATCATAGATGTGGTTTATACTATTCGTAATGCAAAAAAAAACTTGAAATTTAGAAGAAATGAATATGCAGGGTGATTGTTTTATAGTGTCGAAGTTGGAAAATGCTTCTGAAACAATGAAAATGTAAAAACACAAAATGAAGACTCAATATTTTGTTTTGGCTCTCAGATATGTGAAAACATGAATAAAAACACTACCAAACCACACCTAAGAATGCATCTGTTGATGCAAAAAAACATGATGGGAGCTCACATGCCGGTCTGTACTTTTTTTATAGTTCAACATGTATTAAACAAAAAAATGAACCAAAGTACCTTAAGAACACATCTACTTGACAAACAGCACATGAACGTTTGTCATCACCATCTCTTTTACATGCGAGGTAAGTGAATACATCTCCACGAACTGTTCTTGACCATTTTCTTGACCGCTTAGAAAATGCATTCAAGGGTTTATCAGCAGCACTAGAAGGAAGATTTTTAAGTAACTTAATTTCATACTCTTTGATTAGATATAGAGGAACACGTGACTCAGAGAACCAATACATTTCCTTTCCGTCCTGCCGTTTCCCTATCTCAAGAACACTCTTCATGACACGTGAAGGTAGATGTTTCTGATTTCCAAAAGCAACACCGTATCTCATCTCATTCTCAACCTTTCCTTTATCGCATATTAAGGCATTTCTAAAAGCAGAAGCTTCAGTATCCGCGACTTTTCCTTCCAGGAGGGTAGGTTCAGGGCGAACAAGATCACTCCACCTCACATGCATGTCAAGGTACCTGACCTGAAAAAAAATGATAGCTTTATATGCTAAGTAATTCTATAGAAATGACTACCATTGCAGTAATTATTTTTACCACAGTGGAGCTTTGGTGGTAATTGGGAACAAATCAACAAATACTACAAAGATGAAGTTCAACGCTATCATTTATATAAAAGGAAGCACCTGAAGTGCCAGATGTGATGCAGTCTTGCACATCTCAACTGCAGCTCGCCATACCAGCCGCCTGTTTCTCTTTGGAGTTTCACTTCCTTCACTGTAATAAATGCCAGGAATTTTTCTTCTACCACCTGCTACACTGATTTTGTCAGATGAGAATGTTTTTCAATCAAGCTGTTCTTAATTATTATAGAGCGCGCGCGAGTAGATATTCAATTTTACACACAAGCCTACAACAACATCAACATCAACCCAGTACATTCTCAACTCTGTTGGGCTAAAGATGAAGTGATGTACACAGTCTTACCCCTTTAAACACAAGGCTATGAGATTGTAAAATGTAAATGCATGGAAAGTTTCAGATGTTGATAGTATTACCTTCGTGTGCGGCTTTCTTCACCATATATTGAGGCAATGTCCCTCTTTGGAACATAAACTTTGAGAGCATGCCTCCACTCCACCAAGTGAAGTCTGTCGACTTATCCTGACCATGATCAACACTAGCATCAGCCACAACACAAGGCTTTCTACCACGTTTCCCTGGTTTACGCTTATGGGATGATCCAGGAACACTTGTCGCACTCTGGGTGACAGCAGGTTCAGATGAACAACCATCAACAAGCTTGACCCAATCAGCACAAAGAGCGACCGTGCGTATGTTCTCTTCGAGCTGCAAGAAGAGAAGCAATCAAATTTCGAAGATTGCAAACATATACAGTAATATCATATATTGGTGTCATGAATAATGGTGTTATAATATAAATTTTGGAGTTTGAAAAACTTGAACAATGAGGGATCATAATAAAAAATTACTACAAATAAAGGGGTCGTGATAACTAGTGTGGATTCATATATGTAGAACTGCAGTACAGACGTTAAAATTGAACAATTGATTGAATTATGATATTTTCTTTAACATCAGATAATATTATCAGTCATATGTTTCAATAGGACAACAACCATCTCCTGATGAACAACCAAATAAAAAGAACAAAACTAATAACGACTCATCATCACTCATAAGATAGTGTAGAGAGAAACTATTCTCTTGTTCATTCGTTCCTGATGAACAACCAAATAAAATTTTCAGAAGCATATAAGGACACAACAATAAGAAAATATGAGCATCAAACAAAAGAACCCCAAATCTTAGAGATTGTTTAGTCAAAAGAATTGGAAGCAACAATACACCCACAGGCCTCAACTAACTCAGACATGAATAGGTAAAACAATGCAATAATATTAATAATAATAAATGAAAACCTTACTTCAAGCAAAAGAGACTTTATAGTATAGCAGGAGGTAGCTTCTTCTGCTTGTGTACGCCAATGTTTTCGAAAATCTGCATTTAGAAATGGGCCAACCGTTAAACCTCTTAAGCTCTCCTCCATCAATATTATGTACGCTGCAACACCAGGAAGGTTTCCATCTTCAATCTTTGCAGGGCGAATTGTAGCAAGAATCTTCATGGCCCCTTTAGTTGCATTTGATACTGCTGCATTTAGCAAGCAAGCTTTCTTACTAGCCACAGGAGCTTTACAAGAAAGACACCAACTACACCTCTCCCGAGGAACTTCAATAAGTTTTTTTTCAGTATTTGGCCAGAAAAAACGTGTTGCTACTGATGAGAAAGCTTTTATTTGAAGCTGAACATCAGCAGACATAAGTCTACGGCGCTTTTCTAAAGAATGAGACTCAGAGCCTTGGTTCTCCTCAGAAGAAAGTAAAGCAAGACTAGCAGCAGCAGATGCAGCAAAATCTCCATGTAGATAATAATTTAAATATCCATGGGCTTTGAAGGACGAACCAGTGTATAATCTCCCTTCAGTAGAAATTTTAAGATTTTTTTCACCACACCCTTCATGAAAATTTCCACAATCAGAAGCCAATACTCCAGCACAATATTCACTATTGTACCCTATGCCATCGCAGCTGTTTCTTGAAGTACATGAAGCAGTTTCTATCAAGCCTGAGTAGTCTTCTTGAGTCTGCCTAGAAAGATCAGCCTGCTGGATACCTGAACCAGTGAATATGGTAGGTTGTCCTGGACAAAGTGACATGCAATTTATATTGGCGCTGTTGTGGCGTACATCAACACCATCATATTCAGGCTGGTTTGCTCGTTCTGAGCCCTCATTCAGCATCAACTCCTTAGAATCGTTGCGAAATTGCATTGTTTCTGAACTCATCTCAGCTGCACAGCTAGCAAAATTCTCACTGAAATTACTTTCCTTTCCCAATAAAGTAGAAAGAGATGGCACCGAACAGCCACTGATTTCTTCTCTATATGTTAATCCTATATCAAGTCCGACTACTCCACTATGATCCAAGGCATTGGCTGGAATTCCCCAATACTCAACGATTCCCTTGCATATTTCTGAATACAGAGCTTTATATTGGACATTTGTGGTGAGAGAATGGAGTACTCTTGAAATATCAGTTTTGTTGTAGTATCTGAAGCAAGAACCTGAGTTCATTGGATCCTGTAACCTGCACCAAATGGAACAAAAAACATGCAATAAGATAAGCAACCTAGCAGCATAGAAATAAAAGAAGCTACACAGCTCTCTGGCTTATAGAAAAAAAGGCAGCCATCTTATGTCTTTAACTTTAAAATAGAATAATAAAATGGACATTGCCAATAAGAGGAATTAACTGAAAAGCCAATAAGTTACTATCAGACAAGAGACATACACAAGTAAATGATCACAGCATCCCATGAAGATAAGTCCATAAAAATCAACACCAAACAATTGCGCTCCTCTCAAAGATGTTCCCCTTATTGTTGTTGGTCTGAGTTTATTAATTCTGCATTCAGGGCAATACCAGTTTTCATCCCGCATATACATTTTGCAAACTCCTATGCATCTTGCATGGTAAGAAGATGGGCATCCATCACAGCAAAGCAGAGTTCCATCCATACCACAGAGACGGCATTCATCACCATTTTCATCTTGATCTGCATCAATAACAGCGTCTGAACTAACTTTTAAGGTCAAAGAACTAGCTGTATGAGAAGATCTAATATCACGGCCTTTAGCAATAATCTCCATCGTCTCTTGCTGCTTAAAAGCAGATGTCTTAGAGTACCTAGGATGAACCCTTCTCGGCCCATTTAAAGGGACAGCAGCAATCCCTTCTGAATCTGTTCCAAACTCCGATGCTTCACGCATATCCATTTCTGCTCTTACTTCCTCAGCATCTAATGCATTATCACACATAATCTGCAAAATCATCAACTTCTGGCCAACGGTAAGAGTATAATAGTCCCTTTCCATTACATGGGAACCAAATCCCTTCAAATCAGGCCCATCTAAGTATCTCATCACCAATAGATAATGGACCAGATAAATTGGCCAAGTCATTGAATCAAGCAAACTCCAATCCAGGTTTCTACAAACAGTTATAACAAAATGGAGTGTTACTAGTTAATACAAAATGTAGCAATTTAGTAAATAAAACCAGAGTTAAGTTAATAGAACTCTAATTATTAGGATATAAACTGCCAACCATACAAATTATTTATGCGTATTTACAACTCATACATACATGTTTTGTGTATAGAGGGTTCCCAGTTTGGCTTAAGTGTGTTCCTGGGATTTGGTTCCTACCTTTTCTCATTACTCCCTTTTCTTATTGCAGCATGTTTCTTATCCAGTTTTACAATTCATAGCTGTAACATACGGCTTACAAACATTCACCATAACTGTGGTCTATACATTTACCTTTTTCCATGAAAATCTAATTCCACTATAACCTTGCAGCTGGATATAAAGGGGCTAACTAATATAGTTTACAATTTGATGAAGACCCAAAATCTGTTTGTTTGGAAATGTCCAATTATTCTCTCTCAGGTATCCATGTCAATCATTACCTTCCTCAGTGGTGTCCCCCTTCTAAGACCCCACTGCATGGGAACGTACTAGGTAGGTTAGTGTTGTTGGTTATGGTGGTGTCTTCATTCTGTTAGATTTAATCGGGGTTATTCGCATATAACCAAATGGGTAATGAGTCAATGTTCGGGTCAGTTAGTATAGAGTTCGTTAGTATGGTGTCATTTAGTGTGTTTTACATATTTAATTAATTAAAAAAACAGTTGGGTAGTTTCTAAAAGCAGTTATGGGTAGTTTCTAATGTAAACAGGTGTGTTGGTTTGTAAAAGTTGTGTCAGTTTGTTCTCTATTTATATTTAGAGAACACAATGAATCCTGTAACAAGTTCACAACAAATCCTGTAACAAGTTCACAACAATAAAAGAATCTACTTTGCTTTGATCTGGTCATGTCTAACACATTCTAGGCTATTTTCACTTCGTTTGCAGCACCAACATGGCAACATCAGCAGCTGCCAGTTCTTAGTGGCTCCTTGTTTTTCTTTCTTTTTGCTTTAATGTTTTTACTCCTAAGCAAAGCATAGTAGTTTTGATCTAAAAACAAGTCAAACGGGCTGGAAATCCTCAATCTGATTAGTGGTCCAGATTCCAGAACATATTATAGATGCTTAAAATGTCGATAGCACAACCACAGCAAACCAGAAAATTTGGGAGCTTGAACTTGCACAGGTCGGTTGGGATCCAAAATGATAGGATAGGTGCTCCCTTGGGAGCACGGATTTGGGGCTAGAGGCACTCAAAAATGGCTGTTAGACAGGCTTTTAAAAGGTGGGTAACTTAGATAAACTATGGGTTGAATTCAATAAAATATGGACTGACTTTTTTTAATTAGATATTACCACTAAAAAGGGTTAAAAGGTATTCCACCAAAAAAACACAAGTGAAGCACATGTAACAAAAAAGAACAGCACTGTAAAATATTCAACCACTAGCCACCCTAGCAGCTTCCGGCAACCAACCCTCCAACAAAATACGACCAGCGGGCCAACCATACCAAGTCAGTCTGCTTTATGTTAGGACGTTTGGGGAGTAGAGGATAAGATTTATGATTAGTGACTAGTTTAAATTAGCTACATAAGATTTAATGTTTAACTTAAGAACTAATTTTTCCATTTATGATATGCTTTTGAAATTTCCGGAAAATGAAATGAGATACATGTGTTTTTAATTATGTCGCCTTGTTCACTTCTTCGTCACACGACTCTCTCTTTTAATAGCTATGCATGGCAATTGCCTCAATAATAAGACAGATGCTTTAACAATACTATGGTAAAACCTACACAAGAAAGAATGTAGTTTGCATAAGACTCGAGTAATTAAATCCCTCACCTTATTTATTAAGCTCATCTCTCAACATACTGTGGTGACAAGTACTCAATATAGCTTAACCTACAAAGTGAAAAATTAACAGTGTGTGCTCTGATTTGAATGAAAAGTACCTTAAACATTTAGATGCAAACTCAGAGCCATCTGATGACAATTTATCAAGGTGTTGCCTCAATGTCCTCATCAAAGCAAGGTGAATAGAGTCAAACAGTGTATTTGGAGTAAGACAGTTTAGTGAGCCCACAAAATCATCCAGTCCAAAGGGACTCAAGAATAATCGGGTACTAAATGACCGTAAAAAGCTGTATACCGAGAGAAGATATGAAACATACTCCTCTGGGACACCAATGTTCCCAGAAGAAAGAGGCAGATCAGGAGGAGGGATAGAAGGTGCCACGACATTTGAAATCAAATCCATCACACCATCATCATCGGAATAATCACTCATAGATTCAGCATTATCATCTACTTGCCCAGCTTCAACTTTACAAGGCCCAAGACTTCCTACGACGACATTTGGTACAGGTGCTGTCATGTAATTATCGATTTCATTCATAGATTCGGCATTATCATCTCCTTGCACAGCTTCAACTTTACAAGGTCCAAGACTTCCTATGATGACATTTGATACAGGTGCTGTCACGTTATTCTTGGTTTCATTCACGAGAAGAATTCCATTATGACCCTGGTAACCTATGGCTGTCACTTTAATATCAGTTACATTCATGTGAGGACTTGCACTCTCAACCTGAGAATCAATGGTTGTACCATTAGTATCAGACACATTCATGTGAGGACTTGCATTCTCAACATGGAAATCAGTGGATATCACACGATCATCAGTTACATTCATGGAAACAACTGCATTAAGTGCATTCTCAACATGGCAATCAATGGATGGTACATTTTCATTATTGGCACTCATTGGAAGAATTGTTTTTTCAACATGGTGATCAACTGCTGGCATGTTATCAAAAGTAAGATTCTTTGGAAAAATTGCATTCTCAACTTGCGAACCAATGGCGGTGATCTCTTTGCTGAACACCAACTCATCCAACATCCTCTTCCTCTCCAACCAATTACCATCCAACGCATCTTGTTCTACCAAAACCCCCTTTAATTCATTGCTATCCAAGTCTTCACAATCCCCATCTTCATAATTTACCCTGTACAATCCAGAATCATAACTCATGATCTTCCCCAAAAACACCCCGCTGCCTTCAAACTCCTTTCTAACATATCTCCCTACCAGCACCTTAGACCTTGTGCTCACCCTCCGTTTCTTTCCATTGTGATCCACCTCCACACTCTGTACATCAGCTTTTCTGCGTTTCCTCCCTCGCCGCTCCACTTTCCCTGCGGCATCTACCATCTCCAACAAATCCCTCCCGAATCCTAATACAAATCACGCCGCAGATCAAGAAAATTGACGCATTCAAGACCAATACCTTAATCGTTTTGCCCGCCCCGCCAATTCACCACAAAAGTTGGGGATTGATTTATGTTAAATCGCAAAAAAAAAACTGATCCGATTCAACTAGAAAAGCCAATACAGACGATCTTCAAAATCGCAGGAACAATTCAATCATCACTTCAATTCAATCGAGAAGCATCCTCATAAACACAACATTAGGGTTTTCAGCCCGGCGTAGACACCTGCCTGTATATGAATTTTTATGCATAAATATATCCGTGAAGGAAAATATTTACCTCAGCACGTACGACGATTCACCGCCATTGAAGAGGAAGAGAATCAGAGAGGGGAAGGAAGAATAGTGGTAAGAGCCCTGAGACGAAGGCATCACTACATATGCTTCTCTGCCCTAGAAATAGTGAGTCAGAGTATCACGATGTGAGTACTCCGTATCAATTCCGAGTTCAACTCGTTGACTCGGACGAATCGAATGCGGCGATTTTTTTAGTAGTGTGATTTTAAATTTTTTGGGTGGGGGGTTTACCGTTTAATAAGAGTATAACAAACCAAAAAAAACAAATTATCCCCAAAAAAATCTTTCATATGCCCCCTATCTCGAGATAAGTATATGTATCTCGAGAGAAGTATATGATAGAATCTCGAGAATGAGTACTACGCTAATTATTCTCGCACAAATATAATTAGCGTAGTACTCATTCTAACATAATGCAGTACTCATTTTTACACATTGGTTCAATATAATTATAATATTCATCTACAAATAATGTAGTGTTCATTCTGAAACAAAACAGTACTCATTCTCAAATAACTTAGTGTTCATTCTCATGTAGAATAAAATCCATACCATAAATAATTTTTTGGTTTAATTGGTTGTACCCATAATTGGTTACAACCGGATGTATAATATAATTTGCCCTAATTCAATGTCTTCTTCAAATTTCTACCATTCTACAAATCTACAATCATAACCACAAGGTATTAAACATCCAATATAAATGTGCTTTTTTAGGATTTTTTTTGGATTTACATAAGTACATTGATACTCGTTTCTAATAACTAAAGAGGGAATAACACAACTAAAATCACAATGAACAAAATGAAAAGAAACCAAATCAAATGTTGTTACAAGAGCAAAGCATGAACCAAAATGAGAAGAAAAAATGCAGCCCTCCACCTGAGAATTAATTAGTTGCAAATTATCTAAGCAAACAACAAACTTTCATAAGCTTTTACCCGTCACTCACAAAAAAACACTTTCTTAAAAGCTATTGTCTTAGTCAATAATGGATTGAGAGGACATGCAAATACTTGTTAAAAGCGTCAACAAACAAACCATGAGCTTTTTTTTCTACCCACCGGTTCCATGGCCACTCTATTTTTGTGGTCACAGAGAACATGGCCTCTCTACGGTATTCCGTTCATAAAATTGATAGTTCATTCCCCCTCTAACCCTCTATTAAACTCCCCCATCAAGTCATGATCCCAATCCATCCCCCACACACGTCAATTATAACCCGCAAGTTTAGTGAACTTTGAAGTCGATTTTTTTTACCTCAAAGTCAACTAATTGCGGGGTGTAATGGACGTCGGTGGGGGATGGGCTGCGTTTGAGACTGGGTGGGAGAATTAACAGGGTGATTATGGGTAGAAACTATCAATTTTAAGAACAAAGCACCGTATGTGTCCCAATAGGGACAATGTCCTCCGTGGCCTCTCAAATAGAGTGGCCATGGAAATTAATCTATTCCTATTAATTTCTTTTTGTTGGAGGGCATATTCATTTTTGAAATGCGTAATGGAAAAATATTTCTTGAACGATTCATTTATGGTTTTCTATTATAGGGGCAGGCTATTCTTACAACAATACTTATATACAATAATTCTACAACAATTCAATTGGGTACCTACGGTGCTCCGTTCGTAAAATTGATGATTCCTTCCCCTCTCCCCCTAACACCCCCACTTAGCCCCACCCCAGCCCCCTGCACCCCCAGCCCCTACATAATCTCTTATATGGAGTATTGTACTACATGACTTTTGTCATGTGCTTCCTTTCAAATTACTCTGTAAATTTTATTTCGTAAACTATTTAACAAAAAAATGACATTTTTATCTTAAATAGTGTTAAAAATATTACTCCCTCCGTCCTGAAATCATATTCACACTTCCTTTTTTTCTCCGTCCTAAAACTATCTTCCCACTTCTAAAAAAAGTAACTAAATGACTTTAGTACCCTCAAGTTCCACCGTATGTGTCTCTTCCCTGTGTTCGGTCTTTTTCTCCCTTTCTTTCTCTTTCTCCGTTCTCCCTTCTCCGATCTCCATCTTCTCATTTTCTCTTTCTTGTCTTTCTTCTTTCTCCCATTCTTTTGTATCTTTTCATCACTTCTCTGATCCAGATGTTACCGTTCCATTAACACAACAATTGGAGGTGGATTTGACGAAATCAATGGCAGATCTACAGTGGTGATGGCGGATCTGATGAAATCCATGGCGGATCCCCATGTAACAATCTGTGGATTCAACGGAAGATCGAACGAGATTGATGGTGGATGTGAAGTGATGATGCCGATTCGATCAATGGCGAATCTACACGACGAATCGATATTGGTTTGGCAATTCGATCGCATGCTCTCTTTGGATTTCATCAATTTAGCAGGTTATTTTTGTTTTTGCTATTGTTTTTTGTGTGGTGATGGGGCGCAAAAATAGTTTGTTGATATAGATATTGATTTCGGAAGATTGACGACTGGTTGTTTTAGCTTTTGATTTTTGTTCTTGTTTCTAGATTTTTTTATGAGTGTTTTTGTTCTTAGATCTCTATCTTTTAGTGAAAGTTTGTTCCAAGATTTGATTGGCGATGAGACCGGTTGAGAATGACGATGAAGGATTAGGGGTATTTTTGGAAGGTCAAAGCATTTTTTTCACAAGCTTAAAAATGAGCTCCGGTCAACGTGGAAAGATCAATATAGGACGGAGGGAGTAAAAAGTACAGAGTAAATAATTTGTTTTGGGGAGCAAAGCATCGAGTAGGTTGTATTGGATACTCTTACTTGGAGTACGTCGTGGCAGCTCGATGTGATGAACATGAGGTTGGAGACGAATTAAGAGCTATGCAAACAAATCAATCAACTATGCTACAGAGAAGATACTGCAACACTGTCACAGTAACAGATGACAGACAATGTGCTATAACACTTCCTCGTCACAAGCACACACAGAAGTAGATGATGCATAGGGCGTTACAATGCCTACTGGGCAGAATGTTGTAACTATAAAATGCGTAAAAAATAACACCAGATATGTTTACGCAGTTCAAATCAAATTCTCCTACGTGGGCCCACGTCCGTGTAATAGCCCTCCACTAAATCACTAGATGCAAGTTACACCGGTACATAACAACATGATGAGACACACTTCTCTGAATTGTTATGACAAAACTTCTAATCTAGGATTTCTAACCCGTACCCTGTACAGATTCGCTTCGGCTATCACATCTCCACCGAGATCACGAGGACAAACGTGTTGGCAGCCCACTCGTTCAGCTCTAGTTCATCTCCTGGAGGTCACGATCTGTTTGGCATTGAAGATCTCCTCCTTCATGTAGATCGTAACCTTCTTCACGCATGGAAAGCTCCGGGACGCGACGGGAATGCTCTACATCAGCGTATATTCGTTGTTTTCCCTCTCAATCGCTCCTAGTAATTCCCAGGGACCTGCTGCGTTTTTATAGGCTTCTCTTAACACAATCCTAGTATGAATAGGTTAGTAGAAGTTGGCTTGAACTCAACTTCCTTAATCTTGATCCACTAGTAGCCTAAAGAGTTGGGATTCCTTAACAAGTACAGCTGGTGTTATTATCATGTAGTCACAACCCCAATAGGTATCTAATTCAAATTGCATCTTAAAATCTCGTGCTCAGACCTCTGATCCCGAACAGTGTGTTGCAACATCGTGTTGTAGCATCTTCTGTGTCAACCTCGAAAACTGCAGCAACTCTAGAAGTCTAAATAAAATAAACCTCTCTTAACAAATAGGGGTTTCTATCTGCTAGTAAAACACCTAACAAATATGAGATTTTATTTTGCCAAAAGATTAGCCAACACCATGGAACTAACACTATATTCAGAAAGTCATTATGTTTTAGTCTTATTTAGATAAATTCTTCTTTAAAATACCCTTCACTCTCATATTTTTCATCATATTTCATTTTTTTCAATCTTCAATAAAATATCTCAAGCGTTAATATCTTCATTATTAAATTTAATTTAAATGCATAACATAAAAATATGACATTTTAAAATTACCTTCCAAAATAAATCTATTGATATTAAATATTTCATAATTTGTGATCAAAATTTAAAAATATTGACTGTAAGTATCAAAACAGAAAGGAAGATATGAGACTATACATAGGAGAGAGATAATTAGACTCAAGTAATTTAACTTAGTCAAAAGGTTTTTTTCCCTCTTGATGTAATTTGTCATGGACTTGGTCATAATTCCAATGAACTGTGCGGCCTAGCGAACTTCTTTCCTAAGTTGCTAGTCAGTCTACTCCCAGACTTAACGGAATATCGAGATGCTAAGTATGAAGGAACTCGAACTCAAAGAAAGAACTTTGTCTTAATTTCTCTCTCTAAAGCTTACAATGCTTCTCACTTCTTGAGTGAGTGAAATGAATGAGGGGGAGGGGTACTTATACTTCTCCACCTCCTCAATAGACGGCTAAGATCTATTTGATCTAATGGTTATAATCGAGTATCTAGAATACTCTACATAAATATCTAAGATATTTACAAGGCTACACTTCTCTATATTATTCCGGAACTTTCCAAGCTTCTCCAGCAAGTCCCACATGATTCTAGAGAACTTCGAAGTCCTCCAGACTACCGGGATATTCTGGACAAGTCTTCAGACGGATCGGGTCGGGTTTGGGTCTCGAGCCTCTTGCATGCGTTTTTCAGAGTAATTACTAACTTAATAGTAAGCTTATTATATACTCTAATATGTGCTTTCTCTTTTAAATATTACTCCCTATATTCATGGTTTTGAAATATTATACAGGGAATCTACGTAAATAACACTAAAATATAATGACTTTCCCTAAATAGCATCACATGTGTTTTTTCCTAATGTAGCACTTTTAGTCATTATCTATTAGTCATTATTAAAGTAAATGTTTGCCATCATTGAACATTATGGACATTATTAAGTGCTATTTAGGAAATAAAATAGTTTAAGTGTTATTTAGAGAAATGACTTAAGTTTTAGTGATATTTAGTGCAAATATTTCATATTATACTCCCTTGTCCGCTGGAAATAATTTCCCATGTTGGCTGGCACGCATATTTAAGAATAGTAAAAAAGTACTACGTATTAAAATTCCAAGAATGTCCCTAGCTATTTTAATTTGGGGGTGAATTAATTTGGGCAGGTGGGTGTTAAAGTGGAACTACTACTCTGGCGGTGCGTTATTGACATATACACGTAAAAAGTAAGCCAAAAAAAGAATGAGAAGAATATTTTCAGAAAAGCAGATCTGGAAAGTGAGAAGAACATGATTTCGAATGGAGACATTTAAAGTCGTAATATATTAATACTCTGTATATAAATAAAAAATATTGATAACCAAATCGTGTACTATATATATGGGCCTCGTCGTCTCGTAATTACATTGCAGTATTATATTATTGTTTGCTAAGGTACGTAGGGTGATCGAGATGGCCTGCTGCTACGTCATCTCGTAATTTTAAATCTTTAATTTGAAATTTTAAATTTTAAATCTTATATTTTAAATTTTATATTTTAAATTTTATGTTTTAATTCTTTTTAGTTTTAAATTAAACAATTTATATTTTAATTTTAAATTTTTAAATTTAAATTTTAGTTTTAAAATTTTCAATTTTAAATTTTTTATTTTCAATTTTAAATTATACATTTTAAAGTTTAAATTTTAAATTTATATTATTAAAATTTAAATTTTTAAACCTTAAGTATTCGAGGTTTAGTTTTTAATATTAACTTTTAAATTGTAGATTTTAGATTTTAAATTTTAAATTTTAAATTTTAGATTTTAAATTTTAAATTTTAAATTTTAAATTTTAAATTTTAAATTTTAAATTTTAAATTTTAAATTTTAAATTTTAAATTTTAAATTTTAAATTTTAAATTTTAAATTTTAAATTTTAAATTTTAAATTTTAAATTTTAAATTTTAAATTTTAAATTTTAAATTTTAAATTTTAAATTTTAAATTTTAATTT